AAGCAGGGTGGGTCCCAGGAATGGGTTGAACAACTGGGATGAGGAGCTTTTATACCAGCAGGGAGGGGCTTGTGCATGCATTCCCTTGTGGGGACTACGTGTCATGTGATTTACATCATTCTCCTATTTGAGAGTGGGCCCCAAAACTCAAGACTTTAGACATTCAGAACTCAGTTAATTAACATTCAGCAGGTCTTTGTCTAAGGTCTGTGGCCCATAAAGTTTCTAGTTTTAATCCTGTTTTTTAAAAGTCTAAGAGGAAGCTTTGTTCTTCAATATTTTTTCCCTTAAATGGAAACTCGTTTTAGACCTCTTATCTTACAAGTGCAAGCCAGCACGTCATGTTCCCATTTCTCAAATGATAGCTTGTGGCAAAGTTATTGCTCAAGGTCCTTTGCTCTCTTGCTCTCCAGACTGAGAGAAACTGCGCTCTTTGGAATGTAGCAGAGAGATAGAAAACGTTCGTTTTAGCTGTCGTTTCAAGCAGGCTGTAAGCAGTTCTTTGTATGAGCAAGCAGTGAGTTAATAATTGATTTCTAGTGAGAGCAGTGAATGAGTTCTATTATTATTATTTTTTTTTGAAGAGTTTTTTGCTATAGGGTGCGTGCTCTCGCCAGGCAGACAGAGAGAGACAGAGAGATAGAAAGCGAGAAATCACCCCCCAGGGGGGATGGCCACGCCGCAATCCCTTCTCCTCCATTCTCCTCTCGGGATCTTGGGCACGCACGCACACGCGCCCGGCGTGAGTTTAAGCCACCGAGTCCAGGACTCGAACCACGGTCGACTATGTGGGAGTCCAGCGACATAGCCATTATGCTAACTGCTGGTCCCAGTGAATGAGTTCTATTAAAATGTTGACCAGAGTGACTCCATCTTGTAAGTTGGCTCTATCTTTTTTTTTTAAGAGATTTTTGCTGTAGGGCATGTACGCTCACTGGAGAAACAAGAGATGGAAAGTGAGAAATCACCCCCCGGGGAGATGGCCACACGGCAACCCCTTCTCCATTCTCCTCTCAGGATTTTGGGCACCTACGCACATGTGCCAGGAGTGAGTTTCAGGCCTCTAGGGCTGGCTCTTAGACGGCAGTCAGCCATGTGGGAGTCCAGCGACGTAACCATTGGGCCCCCTGCTGGTCTCAGTGGGCTCTCTCATAGATCTGTGCCTGAACTATGTGTGTGCCACCTCTCTCTTACTCAGCACCACTGGCTGGCCCTCTGTTTTCATTCTTTTATTTATTTATTTTTAATTATCAGAAGGTATATGTTCTTGCCAGAGAGGGAGAGAAATGAGAAATGAGGGATGATCATCCTGTAGTCCTTTTTTTCCTTCTTTTGGGATTTTGGGCACACACGTGTGCCCAGTGGGTTTTTGAGGTCACTGGGTCTAGGACTCAACGCAGTCAGCCATAGGGGATCTAGCCACCGAAACCACCATGCCATCGGCTGGCCGTGGGCCCGTTTTCCACGCTGTCCACTTGCCTGGGGAAGTGGAATGTGCTTAACATCTCCACTGCTACTCGGCTCAGATACCTGTGAGTCATCCTGACATTCTCGAACACGGTGTCCTCTGCAAGGCCAACCACATCACACCCGGAAATAGTTACATTTTGCTTACACTGTGCGTCCTGGGTATAGATGCATGTTTGGGAGCTGTGGTCTGCCAGAACTAAATCTCCATAACCCTGCTCTAGAAGAGACCAGTAAAGGAGTAAAGAATAAGAAAGTGAATGCTGGGGACCAGCAGGTGGCATGGTGGTTGAGGCTCTGGACTCCCACATGGTGGACCACGGTTCAAGTCCCAGACCTGGTGGCTTGCTTTCTCAGTTTCCCTCTCTCTACCCCTGTGTCTGACTCTGGTCAGATATAAAAATGAATAATAAAACTAAATAAATATTTCTCCTTTTTTAAAGATTTATTTTTATATTTTTAAGTATTTATTTATTTATTTTAATTTGACCAGAGGGGGACACACACACACAGAGAGAGAGAGAGAGAGAGAAAGAGAGAGAGAGAGGGAGGGAGAGGGAAATTGAGAAAGCAAGCCGCCAGGTCTGGGACTCGAACCACAATTGGCTATCTGGGAGTCCAGCAACCTTAACCACCATGCCACCTGCCAGCCAGTATTTCTTTAAAAAAGAAAAAAAGAAAGAAAGAAAGTGAACCCTGAAGGCCAGCAGGTAGTGGGGAGGTTAAGGCAGCCGGATCCCTCACGGGCAACTGTGTGGTTTGAGTCCTGGACCTGGTGGCCTGAATATCATGCTGGAGTGTGTGCATGTGCCCAAACTCCCAAATGGAAAATGAGCATGGAAGAGATGGGATTGCTGCATGGCCATTTCCCATGGGAATGAAAGAAGAAAGAAAGAAAATGAGCTGACAAGTCCGTGATGGGAAGATGAGGGAGGGGTTCTATACACTTCAGGATCAAGGTCATCTACAAAAAATGAGACCATTTTCACTTCAGTGATTTCACAGGTTCACTTACAGAAACAAGATCACTGAACCTCACCCCTTCTCCAATTGAGTAGGCCTTTACCGGGTCTCAAAATTGGCATGTTTAGGGCCCAGCAGGTGATCGAGGTGCCAGACTCTACATGGCTAACTGAGGTTTGGGTCCCAGACCTAGAGACTTGCTATGTCACTTTCTCTTTTTCTCGTTCACATGCCCTATAGCAAATATAATAATTAATAAAATTAAATAATTCTTTTTTAAAATAATTATTTTTTATTTAACTTTATTTGTTTATGTATTTTTTAAAAGAATTATTTCAGGGACCAACAGTTGGCATAATGGCTATGTTGCTGGACTCCCGTGTAGTTGACCACAGTTTGAGTCCCGGACCCGGTGGCTTAAACTTATGCTGGGCGCGTGTGCGTGCGTGCCCAAGATCCTGAGAGGAGAATGGAGGAGAAGGGATTGCGGCATGGCCATCCCCCGTGGGGAGTGATTTCTCACTTTCTGTCTGTCTGTCTCTCTCTTTCTGGTGAGCACATGGGCCCTATAGCAAAAAATCTCACACACACAAAAAAGAATTATTTCATTTAACTTTATTTATTTATTTTTATTTTGACCAGAGTGGGACAGAGCGAGAGTGAGAGAGAGGGAAAGTGAGAAAGCAAGCCACCAGGTCTGAGACCTGGACCACCGTCTGCCATGCGGGAGTCTAGCGCCCTTACCCATCATGCCTCCTGCTGGCCATGTATTTATTTTAATTTGACCGAAGAGGGACTGAATGAGAGAGAAAGAGAGAGAGAGAGACGGTGAGAAAGCGAGCTGACAGGTCCAGGACTCAAACTGTGGTCAGCCATGTGGGATTCCAACACCCATAGCCACCATGTCACCTGCTGGCCCCAAATAATTCTTTTAAAAAAATATTTGCTGTTGGGACCAGCATTTGGTGTAATGGCTATGTCTCTGGACTTCCGGGTAGTCGACTGCGGTTCGAGTCCCGGACCCAGTGGCTTAAACTCACACTGGGCGCTTGTGTGTGCGTGCCCAAGATCCCAATAGGAGACAGGAGGAGAAGGGATTGCCGTGTGGCCATTCCCCCGGGGGGTGATTTCTTGCTTTCTGTCTCAATGTCTCTCTCTGTCTTTGTGGCATGTGCACGCATCCTATAGCAAAAACCTCTCCCCAAAAATTTGCTGTTTAGCAGATTCCCAGGTGATGCTGGTCCAGGTGCACTTAGAAACTAACTGCTAGGGGGACCAGCAGGTGGTGTGGGGGCTAAGGTGCACCCACAGCACCTCGGGCAGACTGAGGTTTGAGTCCTGGACTTGGTGGCTTACTTTCTCTCTCTTTCTTTCTTTCTCTGTGTGTGTGTGTATGTCTCCCCCCTCTCTCTCTGGTCAAAATTTTTAAAAAACGAATGAATGAATGAGTAAAATAAAATAAATATATTTTTTTAAAGAATAAGCAATGTAAGTTTTTTTTTTTAATTTTATTTATTCATTCATTCATTGTAATTTGACCAGAGAGGGACATAGAAAGAGAGAGAGAAAGTGAGAGAGCAAGCTACCAGGTCTGGGACTTGAACCATGGTCGACCATGTGGGAGTGTCCAGCACCCTAACCACCACACCACCTGCTGGTGTGGTGGTTTTTAAAAAAAAAAAAAAAAAAAAATACTGGGGCTGGCAGGTGGCCTGGTGGTTAAGAGCACTGAACTCCTGGCCAACTGCAGTTCGAGTCCCAGACCTTGGGACTCAAATGTGTGCTCCCTGGAGAGACAGAGAGAGGGAAAGTGAGAAATCACCCCCCAGTGGGACTGACCATACTGTAGTCCCTTTTCCATTCTCCTCAGGATTTGAGCATGCACGGACATGAACCTGCTTTCTCACTTTCCCTCTCTCTCTTGCTCTGTCCCTCTTTGGTCAAATTAATATGAATAAAGTTAAATAAAATAATTCTTTTTTAAAAAGAAAGAAAGAAACAAACAAACTAGCTGCTGAGCCAGAATTAGAGTTAGAATGAACTAAGGTTCTAACCTTAGTTGGGGGTTCTGCTAGCCGTGTACACATGCAATCCTTTGGGGCAGCTGGCAGAGTGATTTCCTTTTGCCTCTATTTTTGCAGCTGGTTTTGTTTGTGTTTTCATGTACGGCTTTTAATTTAAGGATTAGCGTGGCTTCTGGAAGCAGTGAAACATATACACCAGTCTGACCCTTTCACGTCTGTGTTGTTTCTGGCTCCATCTCTGATTTTTTTTTTAACAGATAAAGCTGGAATTATGGCTTAAGGAAATGGGAAACAAGAAACCACCTCCCTAGGACTGTAAATGAGACAGTGACAAGAGCAGTATTTAAAATCTACGCCACTGCCTGGATTTCCAGGCAGCCTTCCTGTAGCACCGCGGGCCGTTTTGTAGTTACCACACACGCCGGCTCCACCTTCTTCGTGTCCTTTCCATACGTGTGTGTATTCACTGGTAGGATGTCAGTCTGGGTTCTTCGAGGACTGGCTGTAGTCTCTTCTAATCTAGTTTTGTGGTCCTTTGTCTTACAGGTATTTTATGCATGGGGTTTGTAAGGAAGGAGATAACTGTCGCTACTCACATGACCTCTCTGACAGTCCGTACGGTGTAGTGTGCAAGTATTTTCAGCGAGGGTACTGTATTTACGGAGACCGCTGCAGGTAAGAATTTGTTTACCGATTCATTCTGTTCAGGGCTGGGTTGGAAGAAGTAGATGAGAGTAAAATTCAAAATTCTGGTAGTTTTATACATAGTAGATTAAACATACTTACGACTTTGAAAAGCATTTAGGAATGTTAGTACGCTGACCGAAATCTGTTTTGGAATGTGTTAATGTTTTTAATTTCTCTTTAAGGTTGTTTTGTTTTGCCAGAGGGAGCGTGTGCTTCCTGGAGAGAGACAAAGAAAGAGAAATTGAGAAATCACTCCCCAGTGGGGATGACTATGCTGCAGTCCCTTCTCCATTCTCCTTTCAGGGTCTGGGCATGCACACACATGTGCCTGGTGTGGTTTTTAAGCCACCGGGTTCAGGAATTGAACCACAATCAGTCATGTGGGCGTCTAGTATCTTAACCACTATGCCACCTTCTAGTTCCATTCATGTATTAACATTTTTAAAAGATTAGTTCATAATACAATCCCACATTTAATGTCAAAGGTGTACCATCTGCAAACTTCTGGATGGAGTATGGTGAAGGCATGCTTGCATATTGAAATTTCCTTTCAAAACCAAGGAAGAGGTGCATATTTAACCAAAATGGACTGCTTTCAGTCATTCTCTACTAATATGAATTAAAAAGAGAAAACGAGGTCTTTTGCACTTGGAATGGTTTACTAATTAAGAGATCTTGTCATTCTTTCTCAACCTTTCTGAGCCCCTGAGCTCATGAAACTAATTATAAGATTCTAGAAGAGCCAAGATCTAGGGAAAATGCATCAGGAATGTTTCTGTTTATATCTAAGAAGTTAGAAAACTAACAGGGATTCATTATTAAGCAATCTCTATCGTTACTCATTGAACTGGGAGCATAATCTTGTTAAATTACAGTGCAGTAGTAAGTGATTTGTTCTGTTTAGAAACTGGATCGAGCTTTTCTTCTTTCTGAATTTTAGAATTGGATAGAGCTTTGTTTTCTGAATCGGGTAATGAGATGTTGGTTTGTAGGAACCAACAGGAGGTGGTGTGGTTAAGGCGCTACACTCTCACATAGCTGCCTGCAGTTCTAATCCCAGACCCAGCAGCTTGAAACTCATGCCAGGCGTGCCCACAGTCCCAGGAGGAGAATGGAGGAGAAGAGATTGTGGCATGGCCATCCCTCCTGGGGCATGATTTCTTACTTCCTTTCTCTGTGTTTCCCAAGAGCGTACACACCCTATTGCAAAAATCTCTCTTCAAAAAAAATAAAGTTGAGGTGTATTAGTATCTATTGATGTTAAATAGATTACCCCTTAATTTAGCAGGTTACAACAATGACCATTTATTATCTCTCAGTTTCTGGAGCTCTGGAATCTGTGAGTGGCTTAACTGGGAGGGTCTAGTTATCTAAAGACATGGCAAGACTGACTAGAAGACTGCTTTTTTGTAATTTGCCAGAGAGTACATGCATTTACTGGCAGGAGAGAGAGAGAAAGAGAGAGAGAGACTCTCTGGTCATACTGCAATCCCTTCTCCATCTCTCCCTCCTTTGGGTCTTGGGGCATGTATACAAGTGCACTCAGTGTGTTTCACAAGCTTCTAGGTTTGGGACTTGAACCCCGTGGATGGCCATAAGGAATCCAGGTGCTCTAACCAGCATGCTATGGCTGGCACGAAGAACAGCTTTAGGATGGCTTACTCACTGTTGGCAGGAGCCCTTTCCTCTCTGGGCAGGCCTTTCCAGGTGGCTGCTTTAGCATCCTCCAGCCCGGCCACTGGCTTTCCCCAGAGCAAGCGATTCAAGAGAGGCGAGAAGTCACAATGCCTTTTATGACCTAGTCTTAGTTGCACACTGTCACTTCCACTGATTCTAGACTGAGTCCCTAAGACCAGCCCACAGTCAAGGGGAGAGAAATTGGCTCCACCTTTTGAAGGGAGGCATGTCAAAGAATTTCCGACATATTTTAAACCACTGCACGAGGTAAGGCTTTTTGGAAATGTCATAGCCAACCTCAGTGTCTCAGAAAAACTTTATGTCAGCTATTGGGATCAAATACTTAGAGTCTAAAAGTATTATTATTATTATTATTACTCTTTATTTAGATTTGCCGTAGGGCACAGTGTGCTTGCTGGAGAGATACAGTGAGAGAGAAAGAGAGGGAAAGCAAGAAATCACCCCCTAGAGAGGATGGGCATGCTGCAGTCCCATCTCTTCCATTCTCCTCTTGGGATTTTGGATTGTGCACATACATGCCTGGTGTGATTTTTCAAGCCACTGGGGCTGGGACTTGAACTTGGCCATGTGGGAATCCAGCACCTTAACCACCATGCCACCTGCTGTCCCCCTCCCCCACGGGAATCTTAATGGATGAGATCCAATTCCCAGCCTCAGCCAGCCCAGGATCACAGAGATATATGCGTGAGCACCCAGAGTGCGCGGCAAGGTCTTGGGACCCAAACTCTGGGACCCTCCCACACCAGCCCTGTGTTTCTACAGGACTCCCCATGGCTGACTGTGAATAGGAACTTATCAATGGGTGGGATGTTAATGTCATGCTACATCTATTTATTTGGAAATTAAGTATGGATGGCGGGAGGACAAAAGGTCTTTTTATGCATGGCAGCTTAAAATGGATTCCCCAGTATCTAAGTTTAGTAGTCAGTCCTTCTGTTCTGTTTGTTTTTTCACTTCAATATTGCTAGAAAGGAAAAAGAAAGCACCACCTTGACACTTTCTTGGGACCAGCAGTTGGCATAATGGCTATGTCGCTGGACTCCCATGTAGTTGACTGCAGTTCGAGTCCCAGACCTGGCGACTTAAACTCACGCCGGGCGCGTGTGCGTGCGTGCCCAAGATCCCTAGAGGAGAATGGAGGAAAAAGGATTGCAGCGTGGCCATCCCCCCTGGGGGGTGATTTCTCACTTTCTATCTCTCTCTGTCTTTCTGGTGAGCGCATGCGCCCTATAGCAAAAACCTCTCAAAAAAAAAAAAAAAAGGAAAAAGAAAATGCCACCTTGACACTTTCTTCCAAAAAATGCCAGATATTCCTAAGGAGGGAAAGTTGTCAGAACTTTATCTTACTGTCAGTGAGCAATTCGTAGTAGGGAGGTCTCTGCGGGGTTTCTAGGCGAGGCTGATGTAGGGGAGGGAGCTGGACTCCAGTTAGCCCAGTCACTGCTGGTTGTTGCCGAGGAGAGGACAGAGTGTTGATGAGAGGAAGGCTCCAGGGTGCCCAGCACAGATGTGAACAGGCTGTGTGACAGATGGGAAAAGGTTATTAACAGGCAGGCCTCCTGTTTCAAAGAGATCTGAGTGGACCTATGCCGGGGTTTAGATGTCCCTCCAGAATTCACGTCTTGGTATTTGGTTGTATTATAAAGGTGTTAAGTGGGGCCAGCTCATTGCCTGGTGATTACAGTGGCTGGGTCCTACATGGTTCAAATCCCAAACCTGGCAACTTGAAAAACACACTGGGCACCTGTGTATGTGTGCGTGCATGCCCAAAAATCCTAAAGGGAGGTACAGCTGGAGAAGGGATTGCAGTGTCAGCACTCCTTGTGTGAAGGGTGCTTTTCTCACCTTCTCTGTCCCTCTAATAAGTGCACATGTCTTCTGGCAAACTGGGGGGGGGCGAAGATGTGAAGTGAAAACTTACTCCTTTCCGGGGTTGGACACCGTAGTCTAGCGAGGTTATGGGAGTCAGATTTCACATGGTGGATGATATTGTTGGAATCCAAGACCCAGAAGGCCTGAAAAACATACCAGGTCCATGTTTACATGTGCCCCAAATCCCGACAGCGCGGAAGAATGAAGAGAAGGGATTGCAGCAAGACCACATCCCACCTGAGGGTGCTTTCTAGCTTTCTTTGTTTTTCTGCCTCTCTCTGGCCCACATGCCTTCTGGGCAATTGGAAAAAACCCTTTTAATGGTGTCCAAGGGTGGGGCCTTTGAGTGTCATGTGATTATTTGGGCGGGGCCTTTGGGTGTGACGTGACCCTCAGGGCAGGGAGTTCTGGTGGGTTATAAGAGGAAAAGGAACCGGGGCCGGCAGACTCTCAGAGCGGCTCTGTTCCGGTCCTGTTCTCTGCCGTTTTGTGATGCTTCTTTGGACCTTCCACGTGGCCAGAATTGTGAGTTAAACTCTTATTCTTGTGAATTCTCCCAGTCCGAGGTATTTCTTTAGTTCAGTAACAAACTAAGAGAACCATGTAGGTGGGTGAATGGGCAATGAAAGGTGAGCGTGAAGGCTGGCCTAGGCACCACAGGGTAGTTAGTTTTGTCGGGCAGTGTTGCCAGTCTCAAAAGGCCTTGTGTTTTTCTTAGGGCATGAGCGTAGGAGCCCTTGTTCAGCCTAACCCCACATTAGAGGGCTTCTTGTGAGAGAAGGAGGTAGGTTCCCTGCGTAAGTGAGGCATTACCATTTAGGCAGAGATGAGTTGCCTGATGGAGAAACCTTAGATTTTTAATTCGTTACAGGGCACGTGTGCTCACCAGAGACTGAGAGCGAGAAGGCGCCCCTCGGGGTGGCCACGCTGCAACCCTTTCCCATTCTCGGGGATCTAGGGCACGCACAGGCATCCCGGGTGTTTCTCAAACTGCCAGGTCAGAGATTCAAACCGTGATTCCAGGCATTTGGTCTGCTCGAGGACAGGAACCTTTCAGGGCCTTTCTGGACCAGTGGGGCCTTGGGTGGATTCGTTCTGGGAGCAGGGCAGTCCTTGGGTTCTGGTACCGTTTAGCCTAGTTTCTGCCTGCTCAGCCAGCACTCATTTTTGAAAGCTTTTTAAGACCCAACCTTATCTTTCCTGCAAATGGGAGTTCAGGAAATCCGTGGGTCCTGATTCATGGCCCACTTTACATAATTACCATTGGCAAAGTCGGCCTCTTAACCCCCCTTTGTACCTTTACAATTTAAATGAACCTTGCCTTCCAAGCTACTAGAAAGATACTCCTAGTTCAGCCCTTCGTTTTCAATTTGGAGAACTACCTTTTTTTTTTTCTCTCTCAACAGAAGGGTGAACTAAGGGCTTAGCCCTTTTGGGGGGCTCCCTGCTCTGTCTCAAAAGCTGGGAGAAGAAAAATCAATCAGAACTTCCTTAGATAAATTTGTACTAAGGTGTTCTTTCCGAGAAGTGAAAGCTCAACATTCATTTATTATAGATGTTGCCTCAGCATTAACCCACCCGCTTAACACTGCTACCGCATCAACAGGAATGGCAGACCTTCCATATAGGGCCAGATCAGACAATAAATGCTTTTCTAGTATGTGAAAGAACCCATGTAAAACAGAATCTAATAGGTATGGCTGTGTTGCAGTTGAAACTTTATTTTGGAACATTGAAATCTGAGTGGGTTTTTTTGGGGGAGTCCGGGCACTTGTGCTTGCCTGAGACAAAGCAACCCCCTAATGGGGCGTGGTCAGAGGGCGGTCCCTCCTCCATTTCTTTGTCCTTTTCAGGACTTGGGGCACTCACACGCATGTGCCAAGTGTTTTTCATGCTACTGGGACCCAGACCGTTTCCGTGTGTGCTGAAACGATACCCCTTTTTTCAGCCATTTAGTGAAGTAAAACCATTCCCTACTGCAGTCGAGTTTGGCCTCCGGGCTGTGGTCTTCCAATCCCAGGTCTTACGGAGGTAAAATGAAAGTCTTGGTTGTCTTCCCTGTTTTCAGTTTTTTCATCATACATTGGGTGTACTCTGCACTAGGGTCATAATTTCCCTCAGAAGGTAGATTTGGGAACATGTTCTTTGATATCTTCGTAGGGCTGGAGGAATTTACTGTTCCCCTCTGAAGGTCTCTGAAAATCAGTTAGTTAATAGATCAATAAGAGAAAAGGCACACGAATTTTATTTACCGTAGACTTGTGTGCATAGGATCCATAGAAAATAGCAGGCCCTAAATGGCCTTCTTGCTGGGAGAAAGATGGAAATGAATTAGTCTAAGGCCCAGACAGTGGTTAGTAAGTTACTCTCTGTGGGAGCTGGATGGGACTAACAGCTTACTGAACCATGAGGAATAAGGCCAAACCTGGACTGGAACAAAGGGTGTCATATTGTGCAGACCACCCACCCCCCCAATTGCCAGAGAGTGCATGCTCTCCCCTAAGTCAGAAAAAAAGGAGAGAGGAAAGCATTCCCTGTGGACACGGTCGTGCCCCAGTCCCTTTGCCACCTTCTCCTTCCCACCCACATGTGCCCATTGTTTTTCAAGCTGCCAGCGCCAGTATTTGAACTGCAGTTGGCCATGTAGAATCTGGTTTCCTTAACCACTAGGTGATGGAGCTGGGCCATTAGAGAAACTTACTCTATTATCATTATTTTTTTTTCCCCAACTTGCTATGGGACACATGAGTTAGAGAGAGAGAAGCCGAGAAAGCAAGCTGCCAGGTCCAGGACTTGAACTGGAGTCAGACATGGGAGCCCAGTGCTTAAACACCATGCCATCTGCTGGCCCCAGAGGAACTTAAAGAAAAAAGGCTTGCAATAAGTTATATGTGCTTGCTGTGGTGGAAGGGTGTGTTGAAAGAGAACCGCACAGGGGAAGTAAGTGGCCAGGCTTTAATCCCTTCTCCACTTGGGATTTGGGGCATGCCTTTTTTCCCCCTTCCTTCCTATAGTGCATATCCACTTGCCTAAGAGAGAAACTGAGAAAGGGGATGACTACCCCACAGTCCCCTTTCCATTCTCCCAAGATTTGGGGTACACATGCACAGTCTCCAGGCGTGTTTTTCAGGCCACCAGGTCCTTTGCCCAAACCGTGCGGTTGGCCACATGGGTTCCAGCCTCCTTAGCTACCTTGACACCTGGCTGGCTGGAGGAGCTCTTTATTTTAAAAGACTTAACTTTCCAGAACGTAGTGGTACGTGGGGCACTAGAGCCAGTGCATGAACTCCACACAAAAAATGTAGTCTTGTTTTTGTTGTTTAGGTTTTTGCCATAGGGCACCTGTACTTGCAGGAAACAGAAAGAGAGGAAAAGTGAGAAATCACCCCCCAGGGGGGTGGCCCCACTGCAGTCCTCTGGTCTCCTGGGATCCTGGACATCCACTCCCACATGCCAGGCTGGGACCCTCAAGACGCGGGGTTCAGGACTCAGACTGAAGTCAGCCATGTGGGAATCCAGTGCTTCATATCCCTTCTCTAAGTGTCTTGTGAACATGTGCCCAATGTGAGTTTCAGACTACCGGTTCCAGGACTCCAACCGTTGTCGGCCATGTGGGAATCCAGTGATGTAATATGCTATGCCATCTGCTGTTCCCAGGGCCTTATGTTTTTATGATGACTGTTCAGTAGTTGGTACAGGTTTTTGGGCTTTTTTTAAGACATTTTTGCTTTAGGGCATGTGTGCTCAACAGAGAGAGGGAGACAGTGAGAGGGAAAGTAAGTAATCATCTCCCAAGGGGGTGGCCACACCACAGTCCCTTCTCTGTTCTCTTACTAGGCATGCACACACTTACATGGTACTTAGCCTGAGTTTCAAGCCACCAGGTCCAGGACTCGAACTGCATTTGGCCATATGAGAGTCTAACTACATAGCCACTACACCATCTTCTGGCCTAGTACAGTTCTTAATACATGATAGATACGAAGCTGGCAGGTGGTATGGTGGTTAAGGCTCTGTTCACCCATATGGTAGATCATGGTTCAATCCCCGAACCTGGTGGCTGGTTTGCCTTCTCTTTTTTTCCTCTCTCTGGTCAAACTGAAAAATGATAATAAATAAAATAAATAATTATTTTTAAAAAATACTTGGTAGATGTTTATTACCAGACGTTGAACTACAAAATTCACTCCTTGAACATGTTTCTCCGTTTTAAGTCTGTTCTTCAGATATTTTTATAACCATAGGAAGCTGAACATTTGCAAGCAAGAAGACATTTATTTACAGGTGGTGGGCTTTCCACCTGATGTGGCATATTTTTAAGATTTTAAGCTTCTCCGAGGCCTTGCAGACTTTATATTTTGGCGTAGCTGTGGAACTAACATTTATAATTCGCTGGGCAGGTGAATTCCCCACAATTTTAAGGTTCACTTAAAGTCACTGATTATAGGCAGAGTAATAGAAAAAGCACACAGGTTTGTTTGGCTAGGAGTAGGGCCAGATGGTTATGGCTTAAATATTCACATATTGAAATGTTCACCTAGTAAGCTAAATAATATGATTGAAGGTATAAAAAATGTAAATAAATAAACAGATAAATTTAAAAAAAAAAAAAAGAAGAAGCAGCAATAAGTGAAACAAAAACTATACAGAAAAAAATGCCTCCTTACAAGGAGGAAGGGAACAAAATGCTCAATGTTAGATAATGGTTAATGAATGCTTATCTTTGAAAGCTGAATGAGACCCAGTTACTGGCAGGTGAGGGGCCTGGGGTGAAATTGCAGTGTATCAGAGGTTGTCTCATGCAGATGGAGCTTTTGGGTAATTTTGGGAACTGCCCTGTGAAGAATAAGTGTCCAGGGTGTGGAGACCTAAGTGTTTCTGTCTCTGCCTGATGAGCTGCCCTGGGGGGTGGGGGGGGTCTGCAGTCAGACAATTGGAAAGGAACTTTCCATCAGCTAGGTTGATTCCAGAGAGAGCCCTTGCACAGGGACAGCAAAGACAAGGTTACCGAGACCTTATCTGATGCTGTCTTTGAGATCTTTAAGCTTCACAATGCAGTCCTTGGAGGTATGTTTCTGAGCCCCAACAAATTAAGACAGTCTTTTATTAAAAATGTTTCAGAGGAACAGTCTTTTATTAAAAATGTTTCAGAGGACACACATGCTTTACAAAAGAGGAGGAAGAGCCAGAGAGCAGAACGCACCAGCGTGGGGGACGGACACGCCACAGTCCCGCCTCCACTCTCCGGTCCCTTGTGATGTGGGCACAGCGGTGTTCTGCTTGAGAGGGGAAGGGGGCACCCCAGCGCCCTCATGGGCCAATCCCTGTCCAGTCTCAACTGGCCTCCAGCCCTTCCCTGCTGACTGCCATCTCAGGACATGCACCCTCCTCTTGGAATTGAACCCAAGACCCTTTCCGTGTTGGTCAAGTTACCACGGTGCGGCCACATGGCCCCTCAGGCCTGCTGTGATTCCAAAGCCCTGGCATTTTTCTAATGTAGAGGCTGTGAGCCTAATAATCATGTTTGTCTGAAGTCCTCCAACTGCGGAGTTAATTTCTCTGCAAACTGAGGCTGAGTCTAGGCTTTCAGAGTCCTGTCTGTGGGGGCCAGCAGATGGTGTAATGGTTACATCATTGGACTCTCACGGAGCTGAACACGGTTTGAGTCCCGGTCCGGGTGGTTTAAAACTCAAGCCAGGTGCCTGTGTGCGTGCCCAAGATTATAAGAGGAGAATGGAGGGCAAGGGATTGTGGTGTGGACATCCCCCCAGTGAGCACACACATCCTATAGCAAAAATACCTTTTATCAGAAGGAAACAGAACAGTCCAATCTTTGAAGTAAACCTCAGAGCCGTGTGCTGTCCCAACTGCCGCAGTGCTGGCGTGCGCTCCGCTGCACCTTGCTGTCCAGTCTGCTTGTCACTGAACACTTGAAAATGGTGGTCAGAGCAAGGACTGAGGGGATGGAGTATTAAATTGTACTGAAGTTTGAACACGTGATGTTGGCCTTGGACATCGCCCTGAGCAGCCACGGCAGACCTGGCACTGCACTGCCACCTAGTTTGGCAGTCCGTCCGTGTCCCCTGAAATCATGAGCCAGTGCATCCTCTTTTTTTTTTTTTTCCTTTCTTTTTCTTAAGAGAGATTTTTGCTACAGGGCATGTGCCCTCACTGGAGAGACAGAAAGCGAGAAGTCACCCCCCAAGGGAGTGGCCATGCTGTAATTTCTTCTGCTCTCGGGATCTTGGGCCACACACACACACACACACACACACATGTGTGTCTGACCTGAGTTTTAAGCCTCCAGTCTATGACTCAAACCGTATCCGACTACATGGGAAGGAAAAACCTGGCAGGTGCTGATTTTGTAGGTATTTATTGGAACTCAGTCACACAAATTCATTTAAATAATGTCTGTTGCTATTTTTGTTCTACAGTTATAGAGTTTGATAGTGACACTGACTGACCTGCACAAATCAAACATAATTAAAGTTTGCTGACCCCTGGTCTATGGGTCTGCTACTCAGAAGGGTAGTCTCTGAACCAGCAGGTTGCGCATTACGTGGGGGCTTGCTAGACCTGCAGCATCAGGGGCTCCACTCCTTTTAACAGTTTCTCAGGTAGTCACGTGCAGGCTAAAGTCTGAGAAGCATCCAAGGATAGTATCAGGGAATCTATGATGACAGTGACTGATGGCTCTTTTCCACTTTTTTTTTCCAGATATGAACACAGCAAGCCATTGAAACAGGAAGACGCGACGACCACTACAGATCCAGCAGCAAAATCGTCACTTGCTGCTTCCTCGAGTCTCCCATCCGTTGGACCACTTGGTGACATGAATACAACTGAAGCTGAGTCTCGAAATCCCAGCTTTGCAACAGGAGCAGGTTCCGAGGACTGGGTGAATGCCATTGAGTTTGTCCCGGGGCAGCCCTACTGTGGCCGGAGTAAGTATTCTGAAGGGTGAGATCAAAGTTCACAGAGGGCTTGACAGCAAGCAGTGGTCAGTTAGCCGAGACTCCACGACCTGCCTGCTTCCAGTCGTCAGAATGAGTGTGGTCTTTTTCAGGTGGATTGCCTAAGACCTAACTGAAACTTGAATCTCAGTAGTAAAGAATTCTAAATTTTTAAAAAAATTGGTTTAGAACTAAATTTCATGTATACAAGAAATACATGAAGATTTTTTTCTTTTACATTCCTAATCTTGAAAATACCAGCATTAGGGAAAAAATGATCTCTGTACCTCTGTCAAGAGTGAAGAAAACTAGTTGAATAGATTGTTACAGAGTGCTATTGAAGTTGTTTTTATGTAGTTTATCTCTGCCTGACCCTTTTGGACTTTTACTACCCTCTTAAAAATTTGCAGCTGCCCCTTCCTGCACTGAAGCACCCCTGCAGGGCTCAGTGGCCAAGGAAGAATCCGAGAAAGAGCCAAGTGCCGTGGAGACCAAGAAGCAGCTGTGCCCCTATGCCGCGGTGGGAGAGTGCCGCTATGGCGAGAACTGTGTGTATCTCCATGGGGACGCATGCGACATGTGTGGGCTGCAGGTGCTCCATCCGATGGACGCGGCCCAGAGGTCACAACACATAAAAGTAAGTCTTCGGAGGACAGATGTGCAGGTGCCAGTCATGCCCTTTGACCTCCTGTTGGGTACCTTTCAGGGAAACTTTTGATCTGGGTGATTCTAGGTAGGTTAGGAGTGTTTTCTTTTATGACTTCTTTTTAAACAATTGATTTGTTTAATTTTATTTATTTTAAAGTCTTTGCTGTAGGCCACATGTGCTCATGGGGGAGGGGTGGTTTGAGAATGCAAGCCACGGGGGCTAGGACTGGAACTGCAGTTGTCTATGTGGGAGTACGGCGCCTTGACCAACACACTACCTGCTGGCCCCCCTTTCTGAATTCTTAAAGTGCTTTATGAAGCTTGAACTTCAGGCTGTGAGCTTCCCTTTTTACCTTTTCTTAAGCATTTAAATGACAGCTCTGAGATTCAGGTTCCATAGAATGTGCGCTTTCATATGCAGATTTCATCGCTCAGTGGTAACTTTGTCGCCCTCTCTGCTCTCTGTCCTTCACACGGCAACAGCTAATTCTTCCTGTCAGGACTCTCCTGTTCTGCACCTTCCATATGAACGGAATCATGCACAGGCGTGTAGTGACTGCAGCTTTTTTTCTTAGCGTGTTTATCTTCTAGGTTCTCGTCACGACCTTATCCCCCTTACTTCATTTTGTTCATGAGAGTGCACATGTGTGCAGGGAGAGAGACTAGTGCCTTTCACAAGGTCTGGTCGTGCTGCTGTCTGCACCAGTCGTCCAGCCCGTCAGACTCGGGCACTTTTGCACCTTCCTGGCATCTCAGTTTAGGCATTAGAACCTGGTGGCCTTGTGAGAACTATCTTTCCTTTTTTTTTTTTTTTTTAAGAGATTTTTCCTTTAGGGCCTATGTACTCCCAGAGAGACACAGGGAAAGAAAGCAAGAAATCACCCCCCCATGGGGAGTGGCCAAGCCACAACCCCTTCTGCACTCTCCTCTTAGAATTTTGGGCACACCTGCACACACACCTGGTGGAGTTTTAAGCCACCCGGTCTGGGACTCAAACCACAGTCGGCCATGCGAGAGTCCAGCAACGTAACCATTTTGCCAATTGCTGATCTCAAGATCCACCTTTATTTTACTCTCTCTTTAAAGAATTATTCATTTATTTATTTAATTCCATTTGTTGTTGTTATTTTTTAATTTGACCAGAGAGAAAAATGGAAAGGGAGAAAACAAGCCACCAGGTCTAGGACTCAAACCACTGTCAGCCATGTGGGACTCTAGCACCTTTAACCACCATGCCACCTGCAGGCCCCAAGATCCACTTTCTCTTAAGCAGCTTATTACCCCTGCACCAACAGGCCAGCCCACTTCATTGCTTGTTATGACTGAATAATCCTTCTTACGCCTTCTATACCACATTTTCTTTTTTAAAGAACAATTTTTTTTAGCTTTATTTATTTTAATTTGACCAGTGAGGAACAGAGTGAGAGAAAGAGAGAGCATGCACAAGCTGCCAGGTCCGGAACTCAAACCACAGTCAAACCACAGTCAGCCATGTGGGAGTCCAGCGCCCTTAACCACCACACCACCTGCTGGCCCCCGCATTGTTTTCTGTTCATTAGCTGATGGACATTTGAGTGTTTTTCCCCTTTGGCCACTATGAATAATACTGCTTTGAACATTATGTAAGTTTTTATGGATATGTGTTTTCATTTGTCTTGAGTATTTCTTACATGGGAGAAGAGTGTTACTGTTACACCACTGGTTGGCTCTTAGACTATAGCTTTAATCCTACAGACTTCCTATTTGGGACCAGCAGGTGATGTGATTAAGGCACTGGACTCCCACATGGCCAACCATGGTTTAAGTCTCAGACCTGGCAGTTTGCCCTCACTTGCTGGCTCTCTTGCAATTTCTCCTTCCTCTCTGTCTCTGAGTGCACGTGGCCTATAGCAAATTAAATAATAAATAATAATAATAGTAAAATTAAATGATTAAATTTTTTGTAAAATAAAACAAGCGTCATATTTATTGAAGCAAATACTACTTCTAATGATTTTTCTCAGTCACTGTTGAATAAAAATTATTTTATTGTAGAGGCCAACAGATGGTGTGGGATTTAAGGCTCTATACTCCCACATGGCTGACCAAAGTTAAAATCCTGGACCTGGTGGCTTAAAAATCATGCCAGGCACTTGTGTGTACATGCCCAAAACTCCAGGAAGAGAGTGGAGAAGGGATCATGACATGGCCGCCATCTCTTCTTGGAGGTTGATTTCTCACTTTCCCTATACATCTTTCTAGCGCTGTCACACTATGGCAAATGCCTAAAAATACCTAAAACGTACTAATACTTTTGTTGGTGAGGGTGAATCATGGTGTAAGATATATATTTGAATTCTACCTTCCAGCAAGCTAGTAGTGTAAAGTTTTTAAAAAAAGAATTAGTTTATTTAACTTTATTTAATTTGACCAGAGAGGGACAGAGCAAGAGAGAAAGAAAGCAAGCAAGCCACCAGGTCTGGTGCACTAAAGTACCACATGGTCAACCATGGTATGAGTCCCAAACCTGGTGGCTTGCTTTAGTGCTCACAGACACACCCTCACAGGGAGGGTAGCCACACCACAGTCCCTTCTCCTCTCCTCAGGGTTTTGGGCATGCACACATAGGTACTTAGCTTGTTTTTCAAGCTGTCAGATCTGGGACTCAAACCATTAAGTTGCTCGTGTGGGATGCAGCCGCCTTAACCTCCCTACTACCTTCTGGCCCTTACAGGTTTTTTTTGTTTTTGGTTTTGGTTTTGTTTTTTTTGACACTACAAAGCTGTTGGAATCCACTTAAGAATTTCTGCATGTATAGCAGTGTCAGTCATAATGGCACCAAAGTGGAAGCAGCATGATAAACGGGTAAAGATTCATATCCAACTAATAGAGACTAAATACTGACACGCCACACCACAGCTACCCTGGAGCTCTGCTAAGTGAGCAAGCCAGCCACAGAGGACCACATGTACTTCAAGTACCCAGATTGGCACATCTGCAGATGAGCGCTGCCACATTGGTTATAGGGGAAATGAGTAGTTGCTCACTTTGAATGGACAAGTTCTTTGATAAATTATAATTCAATAAAGCTGTTCTTTTAAGTAGACCACGTGATCATTGTGTGCCTACGCATAATTGTTACCGAATACATGCTAATTCCCTTCGCCCATGTTTTTTGATGGGCTCTAAGTTAGAACCTTGATCCTAATGATGTATTCCATCTAGAAACCAGAACACCAGCAGTTGGGGTAGAAAACTCTGGGCCATTTTTAGCTCCCGAAGTTGAGTCCTCATTTGCCTGTTGATTATCACAGAGTCCTGTCTGTCATTGCATTTGAGTTCTTTTTTCTTTTGGAGAGGTTTTTGCTCTAGGGCGCGTGCGCTCACCAGAAAGACAGAAAGCGAGAATTCACTCCTCAGGGGTGATTTCTCCTCATGGGATCTTGGACACGCATGCAGACCATGTGACAGGTGTGAGTTTAAGCCACCAGGCCCGGGAACTCGAACCGTGCTCGACTATATAGCCAGCGACATATCCATTACGCCAACTGCTGGTCTCGGATTTGGGTTCATTTCTAAGCAGAGCCCCTTAGTGTCTGATTGGGCACGCCGACTTTTCAGTCGATCGTTTGAGTCTCATGAACTCAAGTTCAGGAATCTAAGCTGAATGAAGCTTTGAGGAGGAGCAGCTCGATCACACCTCTCCTCTCTCCACTCTGCAGTCTTGCATCGAGGCCCACGAGAAGGACATGGAGCTGTCGTTCGCGGTGCAGCGCAGTAAGGACATGGTGTGTGGGATCTGCATGGAGGTGGTCTATGAGAAGGCCAACCCCAGCGAGCGCCGCTTCGGGATCCTGTCCAACTGCAACCACACCTACTGTCTCAAGTGTATCCGCAAGTGGAGGAGTGCTAAGCAATTTGAGAGCAAGATCATAAAGTGAGACTCCTCCCCAACCTCCGTTTGTGCTTTCTATTTTGGGGAAGAATTTAGTATCTTGTGCCAACTTCCAACCTGATGGACCGCATTTAAATGCATGCATTTTATCTTGAAACTGGGGTATTCTTCTAATTGGGAGTTCTTCTTTGTATTTCAGCTAGCTTCTAGGTTAGTTGGTCTATCTACTTTGATTTGAATGAGGAAACCCTATGTACCAGTTAGTAGAATCTTCGTGCTCTTTCCGAGGAGATTGTGTTTAATGGATTAGCCAGTTTAGGCTCTGAACAAACTTACCTAGCTCTGAATGTATGTTTCCTGACATTTTATTTACATTTTCCACTTTCCTATTATACCATCCATTAAGCTAGCCAATTATCCACCATCCTTTAAAGATTGTTCTCATAACTGAACAAAAGCATAATCTAAACAGAGCAAAGTTACAAGAAATAAATTTATTTAAACGAAAGAAAAAGGAGTCTGTGTGAAATGTCTTCTTTTGTTTTTGTTTTTGTTTTTTCTTTAAGCTTAAGTTTAAAAAAAAAAAATGAACTGGCTAGCCTTTGAGTTGAATTTATAGAGTCTGTTCCCTCAGAAGAACAGCCCACTGTGTGGCAGATGTGTGGCAGCGTGTGGTGCCCTTGCAGGAAGTGCCCAGGGGCCTCGCGGTTAACTCTAAAGTCTGGAGGGGACACACCAGAGTGTGTCCTTGAAGAGTGGGCCTGTAAAGGGGAATTTGCATTGCAGCCTGTTCATTGTTTCCCAGGTCCTGCCCAGAATGCCGGATCACATCTAACTTTGTCATTCCAAGTGAGTACTGGGTGGAGGAGAAAGAAGAGAAGCAGAAACTCATTCAGAAATACAAGGAGGCAATGAGGTATGAGCACTGCAGCCTTTTCGCAAGCTCAGAGCCCAACGGAGCTTGGGTTCACTTTGAAAAGAACAGTGCTGCGTTATATACTCCTACCTCCTTCCGACCCTTTCTTTTCCTTCCCAGTACAGTTTATTTTGTCACCCCCGGTCACACCCAGTATGTATCTCGCTGTAACACAGTCCCTGGGGCGCGTGCCTCGGGACTGTGTTAGGACGAAGTCTATTCTGCCGGTAGCTCAGGCCCCGTGAGGGGGTTCTGCCTTGTTCTGACTCCGTGTTGTTAGTTGTATTAATTCTTGTGTGTTGGCTTTCTAATAGATGTTCTCTCTCCCGGATCTGCTAGAACTGTTACACAGCATAGACTTGAACAGAGGATCTGTTCTGCTCAGTGTTCATGCTTTATCACACATGTGTGTTTCTGTCAGCACTCCTTGGGGAGGGCTGTCAACGGACATACCAGTTCTATCCCTGCTTGTTGAAAGAAACCCCGGATGATAGTCAAATACAGACCTGACGTCCACTGTGAATAAGGGTTGCGATATTTTCCTTTCCAGCAACAAGGCGTGCAGGTATTTTGATGAAGGCCGTGGGAGCTGCCCGTTTGGAGGGAACTGTTTTTACAAGCATGCGTACCCCGATGGCCGTAGAGAGGAGCCACAGAGACAGAAAGTGGGAACATCAAGCAGATACCGGGTAACTCTCACTTTTCTTAAAGGAGGGGAAATAGCACCGTAGCCGTTGAGTCCACCACCTGTTGGGGTAGGGGACAGTGAGGACAGCGCTCAGGTCTGGGAGTGAGACTAGAGTGTGAAAGGAGGAGGCAAGCCTGAGGAGACGGGAGGGCTAGGAGATGAGTGACCTTGCCTAAGCTGTAGACTAACCCCTGGCACCGAGTGCCCAGAGGGAGGCGTAGGTAAACTGGATCCCCTAAATGAGAAAAGGCTGGCTCGTCTGGCCCGTGGCTGCTGGACGAGCTGCCTTGTAACACCAGAATAGAAGACACTCCTCGCCAGTGCCATCCCTATCACGGCCTTGTTTTTTACAGGCCCAACGAAGGAACCACTTCTGGGAGCTCATTGAGGAAAGAGAGAACAGCAACCCCTTTGACAACGACGAAGAAGAAGTGGTCACCTTTGAGCTGGGCGAGATGTTGCTTATGCTCTTGGCCGCAGGTGGGGACGACGAACTGACAGACTCTGAAGATGAGTGGGACTTGTTTCACGACGAGCTGGAAGACTTTTACGACCTGGATCTATAGCAGCTCTGCGGGTGTGAACTGGCCTGCGGAGCCTCAGACAGCAGCTGTCCCTGAGCTGGGGCGGCAGTGCCCGCGTTTGTCTCCTAGGCAGGCTTCCCAACTCCAGGTGCTGTTGTAAACGTTACCCAGGGCCTGTCTCCACAACCCTCACCTTACCCCAAGGAGTGTGTTTTCTCTGTTGAAAAAGTTACAAAAATAAATCTTAAAAGTTAGGTTTTTTGTAACACGGACTTAACTGTCAGACAGTTAGGGTAGGTTTGTTGCGTCATCTGTTTTCGATCAGAATGCGTTCCTGGACTCTGCACGCTCATCTGAGGACCCCGGGTCAAAAGTAGTCAAGAATAGGGCTGATGGGTGAAGGGACTTGACGCTGGCACACAGCCTTCTATGTAGGTGTAGGACACAGATCTTCGGTTTCTGGTGACATCTGCACACCCATGTTGGCCTCTTCCCTACCTGTGACATCACCCCCCCCATGTGTGCTCATTCAGTGGTTTGGTCTCTTGTTTCATTGCACGCAAGTAGCACCACTGGGTAACCAGAAACCAGGTGAGAATGTGAGATTTCTCCTGTGTTTATTAGCGTGGTAGGAAAATGTGAAAGAACACATAGAAAGGAGAGGGGCTTCGCTGAGTCATGCAGAGTTGGAAGTCGACGCCCACGGGCCGACAGACAAGCTGTGATGTGTGTGTGTGATGAGCTCTTCCTGCATAGATGCCGTATTCCTAGCCTTAGTGGGAAAAACGTGGTTTAGTGGTCTCAGCCTCGTGGCAGATAGATCTGAAGGAAAGCGCCATGTTTTGGTAGACATGCTAGAGCAATGTCAGCTCTGTCTAGAGGAGCGGGCGCAGCCGCAGAGCAGAGCGGGGCGCTCTCTGGCTGTCCCATATGTAACACATTGGGTCTTGGATACGCAGTTGTATTCAATGTTTTGTGACCTAGCCTTTCCAGTCCAGGCACTTTTTTGAAAAATCTTTGTCCTTATTTGAAGGATTTTTGTGTTTGGTTTTGTGAGCATTTGCCTCCATCTCCCCTCACCCCACCCCCTCCGAGCTTCGCAGGTAGACAGATGTGGTTCAGCATTGGTTCGGCATTACGTTCCAGGGTCTTTATCGTACTACTTGGCAATAATGAGTCGCACTAAAAGGGATGGAGGGTAGCCCACAAGCCAAGCTCAAGTTAAGTTCAGAGAATTCCTTGGCCAGAAATTTCACCCTTGCGTTCTGTTGCTGTTTCCTGAAAATAACTTGGAGATGCCCCTGTTTGTCCATCTACTGCTTGAGTCCTTGGATCCCACTCATCCTTTGACTTTAAGGAAAAACAAACAAACAAGGAATTGTTGCAGAGTTCTCTGTATTTTGCAGCTACCGTTTTGTAAGACGCACTTTTCCCAAATAAAACAATTAAAAAATAAGTTGGCTTTCTGTTTTGAAATGCACAGATATCATTGAGTCTTTGACCAGTTCCTTAATTAGACAAATTTCTGTGGGTATCAGGGTCATTGAAAAAAGTGACACTTTGTTTCGAGACACTAACCTGTTAGGAAATATTTTAGAGATAAAAAAGGAAAAGCCGGGATAACCAAACTTACTCAGTTGTACAATTTGCAAGCTAACTCCAGGCTGCCTTGATGAGCCAAAGGCCTGGTCAGTGTTCTCCCATCCTTTGTAGTTGAGCCAGTGTGAGCCTCAAATAGCAGTCAGGTGTAAGTCTCAAGGGAACTGTACTTGTACTTGGAAAGAAGGTATAGCTTCATGGCTTTTTGTGAGTAAAAAAGAACCATTTTGCCATGCTCTTGGGAGATTACATTCACTTGGCTTTTGTAGCACTTAGAAAAAATGTTGCTTCCTGGTTTTAGTGTGTTTCCATGTCTAGGAATCATGCACACATGAATGTGCTTCCTTGTAGTCATGGAAACAACTGTGAGCTCGGTTTGTAAGCCCATGAATCAGCTCTTAGAAGGAGCAGAAGGCCACCCTTCTGTTACTGTTCTGACTGAGCTGAGGACCCTCAGAGGGACACTGAGCAGTCTTAGAGAAGGACATATTGGAGATAAGACTAGGGAGAAAGACTGGGGCTTCTTGAAAGTGGAAAGAAGCTCCTGAGAAGCCACCCTCCCAAGGCCTGATCTGAGTCTGGTGGTGGTGGTGGGGGGGTTATGGGGAAGGTCCAGGTGGTGATTTAGGTATGGTAGTGTCCCGAGCAGCTCCTTAGGATCTTGGGAAAGGCATTGAAGGCTTATGTGTGTCTGACCAATCATAATCCATGTTGCCTCCTTGTCACTGGCTGCATTGGGAGCACAGTCCCTTCCCAAAGAATGGATAATTGTAAACAAAGGCATAAACATAAACAAGTGAAACTTCCTCACTTTCTGACTTGCACAAAAATCTCATTTCTACCTTTCCTGCCCTCACACAGAATAAGCAGTGCTGTCAGTTTATAACTCCTGCAGACACAACAGATCCTTATTTATGAGAAAAATTGGATACTGCCAAAGGTTGGGAAGGGAGGAGGCATGGCATGGCTGTTGGGTGCCAGTTGCTAGGACTGGTCGTTGAATTCTCAGTCTCTGAGTTCTGGGTGTGTCGTTCGTTACCAGGCTCGTAGAAGGGCCAGTATTTCCAAGAACGTGTGAGAACCAGTGTGTGATTTCCCTCCTTTCCCCTTCTCTATGGCATTGGGAAACCAGGGAGCTGTCCCAGCAGCGGAGTCATCGTGAGAACGCTCTGCTGACCTAGGAGGGAACATGCAAGTGAGCACGAAACAAGCCATTGGAGTGAAAGCCACCAAGATATCGAGCCCTTGTTATCACGGCCAGCCACTTGTCTTGTGTTGAAATCTTCTGTTTAAAGAACATACCTGTGGGCCAGCCAGTGGTTAAGGCAGCTGGATCCCACCCACGTGTGCTGACTGCGGTTCAAGTTCCACAACAACCACCTTAAAAATCACACCGTGAGGACCAGCAGTTGGCGTAATGGCTATGTCGCTGGATTCCCATCTAGTCGACCACAGTTCAAGTCCTGCGCCTGGTGGCTTAAACTCATACCAAGTGCATGTGTGTGCGTGCGTGCATGCCCAAGATCCTGAGAGGAGAAGGGATTGCGGCGTGGCCATCCCCCCTGGGGGGTGATTTCTCGCTTTCTGTCTCTGTCTTTCTGGTGAGTGCACGCTCCCTATAGCAAAAACCTGTCCAAAAAAGTCATACTGTGTGTGCTGCACATGCACCCGGGCCCCGAATCAGCATGATTGTGCCCCTTGCGAGTGTGAGGAAGCACACTAGTGCTTGTGCCCTCTGGCAAATTTTTTAAAATGAGAGAACTAGTTTTATAAGGTAAGTCAAACAAATAATTCTTTCGATAATCTTTATTTTTAGGCATCCCTAGCCAAGGAGATCAAGTAAAAAAAATTGCAAACTGGTCAATAAATGAAATTAATGAGTAAACTTAATTAAGCTTAATATTATGGCTTAAAATTGATACAAGGTATAGAGAAGGAAAAGCATTTTTTAAAAGAAAGCTACCTGAGAGCCAGCAGGTGACTGAATCCCATATTATATGGCTGGTTCTGTGGACCCAGTGGCTTGAAAAATCACACCAGGCATGCATGTGAGCATGCCAGAAATCTCAGGAGTCAGTCTAGAGAAGAGATTAAGGGTTATTTAATTTTATTTGTCATTAATTTTTAAATTTACTTCTGGGTACAGAAGCTTACCAGAGAGAAAGTGAGAAAGCAAGTCACCAGGTTTGAGACTTGAACTGCAGTCAGCCACGTGGGAGTCTAGAACCTCAACCACCATGCCAACTGCTGGTCCCTGAACTCCGCTATTTTGATTGTATATACTACTAATACACGTTTTTCAGAAGACCTTACTGTAATGCAAGGACCTTACTGTAGAGGTTTATTCGTTTTTCTTTCCTTCATGATAGAATGCACGCACACAAACGCCAAGAGCAGAAGATGCATCCTTCCCGTGGTCTGGCCGTGGTGTGGTCCCTTTTACTAGTCGTCCAGCCTGTTGGATCACATGCAAGTGCCCAGTGAGCATCAGGCCAGCAGGCCTGGGGCTTCAGACCAGGAACAATATGGGATCCAGTTTTTTCTTTCTTTTTTCTTTACTTTTTTTTTCCTTTTAGGGGGGAGGTTTTTGCTATAGGGCACGTGCGCTTGCCAGAAAGAGAATGAGACAGAGACAGCAAGAAATCACCCCCCCCGGGGGATGGGCACGCCTTGGGCACACTCGCCCAACATGTGTTTAAGCCACCGGGTCTGGGACTCGAACCGCGGTTGACTACCTGGGAGTCCAGTGACATAGCCATTACACCAACTGCTGGTCCCAATCCAGCTTTTTCTTGAGTAGCACCTTACTACTGCACCAGGAAGCTGGCCCTATGCTGTACAGTTTTAAATTATGTCAGGAGTTTTTATTTGATTCTATTGTAAATGGGTGGCTGAAAGATTATAGTATTCTTTTTGGTTGCTAGAGGACATACACTCGCCAGAGATAGTGCCACCTTTTTGTGTGGTAGAGGACATCCACTCGCCAGAGATAGTGCCACCCCCCAGTGGGTAATTTGGTTACACTACAATCCTTTATCCTCTGTTTTTCTACCCTGCCAGGATTTGGGGCACATACACACATGCCTGGTGTGTTTTTCTTTGTTTATAAGATTTTTGCTATCAGGTGTATACGCTCGCCAAAGACTGTGTCAGAGGGAAAGTGAGAAGGGACAGTGAGAAGTACCTCCTCTCCCGGAGATGGCCATGCTGCAATCGCTTCTCTATTCTCTTGGGATTTGGGGCACATGTGCACACGTTCCTGGTGTCAGTTTTGAGCCGGTGGGTCTGGGATTAGAACTGCTGCAGACCATGTGGGAGTTCAGTACCTTAACCACCATGCCACCTACTGACCCCAGCCTGCTCTGTTTCTCAAGCTGCTGGGGCTGACACATAGTGGTTGGCCATGTGGGATGTAGCTGCTGATGCCCTGTACTTAGGCATGGTGTATGCTGACAGCCCTAAGGTTTTTGTTTTTATTTTTTAAAAAGAATTATTTAAGGGCCAGCAGGTGGCGTGGGGGGTAAGGCACTGGACACTCCCACATAGCTAACCATGGTTTGAGTCCCAGACCTGATGGCTTGCTTTCTCACTTTCTCTCTCTCTTGCTCTGTTCTCCTCTGGACAAAATAAATAAGTAAAGTAAGTTAAATAAGATAATTCTTTTTTTAAAGCTTTTTAAAAAGTACTTTTTAAAAAGCTTTAAAAAAAGAATTATCTTATTTAACTTACTTTACTTATTTATTTTGTCCAGAGGAGAACAGAGCAAGAGAGAGAGAAAGTGAGAAAGCAAGCCGCCAGGTCTGGAACTCAAACCAGGGTCGGCCATGTGGGAGTCCAGCACCCTTAACCACCATGCCACCTGCCATCCTGTTTTTTTTTTTTGGTAAACTAATTTTTCCTCCTTTACTCATGATACAGTGTGTACACAACATGTAGGAATGAGAAAGAGAAAGGAGTGTCCTCCACAGGATCTGCTCATGCCCTGAAGCCACCAGCCCCTTGAATCTCAGCCTCTAACGCATGTGCCTCGTGTGTTTCAGACTGACCAGGCTGGGGATTTGAGCGGTGGTTGCCACAGGAATCCAGCTTCTCTTGGGCAGTACTTTCCAGCTCTACTACTGCACTGGCCCTACTCATTCCTCAAGAGGGAAAAGTACCACCAAAGGGTCCTTACCCCACGACTGACTCCCAGCCCTAGGCAGCCCAGATCACTGGGCCTAGAGTGTAGAAGAACACGGTGTGTGTGTGTATCCAAGACTTACGTGTGAGTCCTGCTGCCGTATAACTTACCATCGGGTCTAAAGAGATATCTGTCTAGGTTTTTGCCATAGGGTAAACGTGCACACCAGAGAAGTCAACCCCCGAGGGGGATGGCCATGCCTCAGTCTCTTCTCTATTCTCTTTTTGGTGTTTTTTGGGCATGCATACACATGTTCCAGCATGATTTTCAAGCTACCTGGTGCACACTCAAACCGGGGTCAGCTGCGTGGGAATCCACATAGTCACGCCACAGTCCTTCAGCTCTCCCCCTTTTCGGGATTTTGGGCACACACATGTGACCAGCATATTTCTCAAGGTGCTGTGTCTAGGACTCAAATTGTGCGGTTGTCTCTCTGGGATCCAGCCGTCTTGATCACCAGGCCATGGAGCCAGCTGGAGAAGGATTTTTGATGACATGAAGGTACCCATTTATCTTAGCTATTTAAGTCCTTGCGGGTGGGCGCCTTGCCAGCGTTGGAGTTGCTGTGAGTTGAACACAGGCAGCAGTGGGAGTACCGATCCCACTAGTCCACGAGATCCACTGTTTCCCAGACCGTGTGTATGTTTAATTTTGCCAGAGGTGCATGTGCCTGCTGGAGAGAGGTAGGTACCCCTATGGGGCGTGGTCCCACCACAGTCCCGTCTCTCTCTTTCCTTCCTTTTGGGATTTTGGGTATGTACACACACACTCCGGTGTGTTTCTTAAGCTGCAGGGTCTGGAAGTTGACTGCACAGTTGGCCATGTGGAATCCAGCCGCCTTCACCACACCACTGGCTGGCCCACATTTTTGTTTGTTTGTTTGTTTGCTAGCTAGGTGTGTGTGTTCCCTGGAGAGAGAGAAACAGGGAAAATGAGGATGCACCCTCAGAGGGGTGGCCATGCCATAGTCTTTTCTCCAGTTTCCCCTCCATACCTTGGGCAGGCACGCACACAAGCCCTGGCTTGTTTCTCAGGTCACCGGGTCTAGGACTTGAACTGCGCACCCAGCCATGTAGGGTCCAGCTGCCTTAACCACCACCGCACAGGCTGGCCCAGAAAAATTAAATGTCAGTGAAAGGTTTTCTCAGACATAGAATGCATTTGACACCATCGGACAAAATAGTGAGATGTTTTATTACAATTTTAATTTTTCAAAAATTGTGTAAGTTTTTTAAAAGAATTATCTTATTTAACTTTTATTTATTTATTTTAATTTGACCAGAGAGGGACAGAGCAAGAGAGAGGGAAAATGAGAAAGCAAGCCACCAGGTCTGGGATTCTAACCACGGTTGGCCATGTGGGAGTCCAGCGCCCTTAATCACCATGCCACCTGCCAGCCCCCAAATTTTGTAAGTTTTTTAAAAAAGAATATTTCTTCCGTGAGAGAGACAGAGACAGGCATCCCCAAAGGGTTTTCTTTTCACAATTCACCCCGGATTCAGCCAGCCAGGACCATGGGCAAGTGCTATGTCCACTATGTACAAGGAGCAGTTGGGATATGAACCCAGGACCTTCCCATATGGCTTCAGCAGTGCAGATCATTGTTTCATTGCTGCACCATTGCGGCTGACCTATAACCCTTTTATTTTATTTTATTTATTTATTTATTGGGGCTTTTGCTATAGGGCACGTGCGCTCACCAGAAGACAGAGAGAGCGGGGAGACAGAATGAGAAATCACCCCCCAGGGGGGATGGCCACGCCACAATCCCTTCTCCTCCATTCTCTCAGGATCTTGGACATGCATGTATAGGTGCCTGGTGTGAGTTTAAGCCACTGGGTCTGGGACTCGAACAGTGGCCAACTACATGGGAGTCCAGTGACATAGCTATTATGCCAACTGCTGGTCCCCCTATAACACTTTTAAAAGTCTTTAATTTTACTATAGGGCATGTGCACTCACTGGAGAGAGAGTGGGTGGGAAAATGAGAAAGCACCCGCCAGGGCCACGTTGCAGTCCCTTCTCCTCTTGTGATTTTGGGCGTGCACGCCACATATACCCAGTGTGGTTTTCAAGGCATCGAGTCTAGGACTTGAACCCATGCAGTTGGCCATGTAGGATCCAACTGCCATAGCCATCACGCCACCAGCGGCCTTGGCCTATAATTTGTTTTTTTCTTTCAAAGTGTTTCTTTTGGAACTTAATCTTGTATAACTCACTTGTTACAACTATCCAATTCTGGGAATGTGGGAAAATGCCCAATTTTGATGAATATACAGCCTGCCCAGTTCCTTACCTATAAAACCAAACCTGCCTGAGGCAGTTTAAAGGTGCCAGGTGTAAGACTGATAAACTTCAGAAAAACCTGTCCTCCTTTTTATGGTAGACAGGATCTTTGTATGTCTAATCCAGAGAAGCCACTGCAAGTTTTATGAGTCCCTTTCAAGTGTGTTTGAGGGATCCTGTCATAGCACTGTCATTTCAGCAGAAGCCCGGGCCGGCTACTTGCAGGTTGGTACAGGTGACCTTGTTCTCACAATCATAACCTCTGGGCAGCACTGTTGCAAGTCAGATAGTCTCCCCAGAGCACATAATCCTAGAAACTGATGACGTTTTCAGAGTATTGGTTGAGATCCATATGCAGAAAAATGAAAGAAAAATTGATGGGAATCATTAGGTTGTATTTTATTATTATTATTATTATTAATATTTGCGAGAAGGTGCATGTGTACCAGAGAGGACAAATCAGCACCACCCCCCAAGCTGGGAATGATCACACCACAGTCTCTTCTCTTTTTGTTCCTTTTGGGGTTTGGGACACACTCACACATGCCCTTTGTGTTTCTCAAGCCGCTGGGTCTGAGACGAGCGGTGCGGGTGGTCACCTCGGAGCCAGACGCATGAACCACTAGACCGTGGAGCCAGCCCTTGGTTGGTCTGCATTCTCTTTTCCTCAAGTTTTTATGCTCCTTTTGAGTCTTGTCATTTAAAATAATTATTATTATTTTATTTTATTAATTATTATGATTGCAGTGTGACATAGGGAACGCACACTTACCAGAGAGATGGGGGTGGGAGGAGTGAGAAAGCAGGCTGCCAGGTCTAGGACTTAAACTGGCGACCGGCCGTGTGGGAGACCAGTGCCTTAACCACCACACCACCTGCTGGCCCCAAGTCAGTATAATTTTTAACATGTGTTTTAGGACTAGCCAGGTGGAATGGTAATTAAGGTGGCTGAATCCCACATGGCTAACTACACAGTTTGAGTCCTGACCCCAGTGGTTTGAAAAACATGTCGGGCATGAGTGCAAGTGTGTATGCATGCACGACTAAGCAGTCTGGAGAGGAGAATGGAGGAGGAGAGATTGTGGCATGGTCTCCCCCCCAGGTGGTATTTTTCACTTTCTCTCCCTCTCCTTCTGTCCAGTGAATGTACATGCCCTATAAAAAATTTTAAAAATAAGTAAATAAATGGAGCCGGCAGGTGGCATGATGTTTGGGATGCTGGACCCCCCCCACACACACATGACCAACTACGGTTTGAGTCCTGAACCTGGCAGCTTGCTTTCCTGCTTTCCCTCTCTCTCTCTCTCTGTCTCTCTCTGGTCAAATTTAAAACTCACACCAGGCGCGTGTGTGTGCGTGCCCAAGATCCCAAGAGGAGAATGGAGGAGAAGGGATTGTGGCGTGGCCATCCCCCCGGGGGGTGATTTCTTGCTTTCTATCTCTCTGTCTCTTTCTGTCTTTCTGGCGAGCTCACGTGCCCTATAGCAAACACCTCTCCAAAAACAAATAAATAAAAATTAAATAAAAGATAAAATAATTTAGACAGTGTGGTGGCTAAAGTGCTGGGATCACACACGCTGGCCATAGTTCAAGTCCCGGACCTGGTGGCTTCTCACTTTCCCTCTGTCTCTGTCTCTCTCTGGTCAATTAAAAAATAATAATAATAAAGTAGGGGGCAGCAGGTGGCATGGTGGTTATGGTGTTGGAATTCCCACATGGGCTACCGCAATCCAAGCCCAGGACATGGCAGCTTGCTTTCTCACTCTCCCTCTCTCTCTCTCTCTCTCTCTGTCTTTCTCTGGTAAAACTCATGTGAAAATAAATAAATAAAATAATTCTTTTTAAAAAATAATAAATTCTTAAAAATTTAATGAGTGTTTTTTTTTTTAAGTTTATTTATCTACCTCTTCCATGAGAGACAGAGACAGGCACCCCGACATGGTTCCCTTGTCATGATCCACCCCCAGCTCCAGCCATCCCGGCTCACAGGTTGGTGTACGTGTGCCCAGTGTCCACAGGGAGGTTCTGAGATGTGAACACAGGATCTTCTCACATGGGTCTAGCTGCACTACTACCACGCCACTCCCTGGCCCAGAAATGTCTTCTTACCCAGCAGGTGACCTGATGTCTTAGACAGGAACTGTAAGACATCTCCCATATCCCAGAAGGGCCACTGAATCAGCCCAACTTGGCTAACACGAATCCCTCAGATGACTCCCGGACATCTGAAAGATGGCACTTCTGGTATTCACAGCAAAGGCTTTGCTCCTGGGAGCGACAACCAGAAGGGTGGCCACGATCGGAGGTGTGAGTGTGGGAAACACAATGACAACGCGTGGTCTCTCATCACAGTCTTTGTTCCCGCCCTCCCCACCTGAGCTGCAGCAGGTTGTCCAGGATGTTCCAGAAATCCTCTCCTTCATCTTCATGTTCCTCTCCTTCCTTCCTGCACAACCTTCTTCAAGGGAGCAGTCCAAGTGTTGGGGAGACAGAAAAGGTAGGCGGAAGGGCAATCCCATCCTATCTCCATGCCTGGTTTCACTAGGAATCGAGGGACACCGTGGCGTCCCTGTTCCTCGGAGTCACGGCTATGACCTACGGTGTGACTAAGGCAAGATGCCACATGTTCAGGCTGGGAGGATTAGGGATGAGCACAAGTCTACATTGGGGTCTGAAATGCCACTCAGGAGACACTAGGCTACCTGGCTACCTTTGGTTTTAGAGACGGCCTCTTTGGTGGCCGTGACTGGCCTGGCCAACACACTCAGCAGGCGCAGTGGGCCTTCCCACGTGGCCCCTGGGCCGTGAGCACCGGCGTGGAGTCCAGGGGCGGCCCAAGCGGGGCGCTCTCTCCATACAGGTGCAGGCTGTTGCGGGCGATCAGCTCCTTGGCCATGAGCACGAAGACTTCGTCGATGTTCCTGGACTCCTTGGCAGACGTCTCCACCACAGCGAGGAGGCCGTGCTTCTCGGCCAGCGTGCAGGCGTCCTCGAACAGGACGTGCCGCTTCTCCCACAGGTCGCACTTGTTTCCTGGACGGGAAAGAGAAACAGGCGTTTCCTGGGGTGGCAATCGTGTGTGTTTAATTTTCAGTTCATGTATCTGTTCTATGAGAGAGACAATTGTAGTGATTATTATTTGTAAGTAAAGCTTCAAAAGATAACACAAGTTGACTTCACTTAGGGAAAAATGTCCTAAATAGTACAGAGAAAGCAATTATTATTATTTTTTAAAGAATTATGTATTTAACTTTATTTATTCATTCATTTATCTTAATTTGACCAGAAAGAGACACACAGAGAGAGAGAGAGAGAAAGTGAGAAAGCAAGCCACTAGGTCCAAGACACAAACCATGGTTGACCACATGGGAGTGTCCAGCGCCTTAACCACTATGCCACCTACTGGCCCTTATTATTTTTTTTAATTATTATTATTTTTTTTAGGTTTTTGTCAGAGGGTGTGTGTGCTCCCCAGAGAAATACATGCTCCTCAGTGAAAAACAGAGAAAGAGAAAGTGAGAAATCACCCTCCGGGGGGATGATCACTCTGCTTCCATTCTCCTCTATTCTCCACTCAGGATTTTTGCACCCAGAGTGATTTTTCAAACCACCAGGTCCAGGACTCAAACTGTAGTTGACCATGTGGAGTCCAGTGGCTTAACCATCATACCATCTGCTGGTCCCATTATTACTATTATTTTTAGAATCATTATTTAAGGGGCTGGCAGGTGGCGCCATGGTTAATGTCCTGGACTCCCATGGCCAACCACAGTTCAAGTTCTGGACCTAATGGCTTTTTTTTTCTCTTTTCCTTTTCT